GGGGGTGTATAGGGGGTGTTGGGGTGTACGGGGTCGGGTGTTGGGGTGCCCGGTGACGCCCCCCTCTGACACACAGCTCAAGTGGTGCGCCTGGATCGCCGTCTACTGCTCCTTCATCAGCTTCGCCAACTCGCGCAGCTCGGAGGACACCAAGCAGATGATGAGCAGCTTCATGTGAGCGCCGGGCGGGCGGCGGGCGCCGCGGCGCCGCCCTCGCCCCTCATCGCCCCTCTCCCCCCGCCCCAGGCTCTCCATCTCGGCCGTGGTCATGTCCTACCTGCAGAACCCGCAGCCCATGTCCCCGCCGTGGTGACGCCGGGGGCCCGCACGGACACCGCATCGCTCCCGTTCCTGTTCCCGGTGCGCGTGTTCGGCCCGGTTCAGGGCTGGTTCCGATACAGGCAGGAGCAACTGCCGCCGCCTTGAGAATTCCCTTTATCCCAGCGCGCCGAGGCGAATGCCGGCGTTTCCAGGACACCGGAGTATTCCCCTGGGTCTATGGATTATCCGACACGCGCGGCCGATGCCCTGGGGAGGCCGCAAGGACGYGGCCGGAGCTGCTGCGATGGCGACGGGGGGAGGCGGGAGGCCGCTCCCAGCCCCAGAGGGGCCTTCAGGGTGGGAGCTGGAGGTGGGAACCGAGGAGGAGCAGGGGCCGCGGCCGGGGGACGCGGGGACCGATGGAGGAGGCTGCGAGAAGATGGCGCCGGCCCGCGCCGCCATTTTGTCGCTCCCCTCAGCCGCCGTCGCCTCCCTGAGGTAAAGCCGCGCCCTCCACCCCCAACCGCAACTCGACGTCCCATTGGTGGMGCCCGCCGGGGCAGCTGGAGCTCTCCGCCAATCACGTTCCGTAGCGGGGAGGGATTTACAGAGTTGCTGCCCGTCATTGGCTACGAGCGTTTTCCCGCCGCGGAGAGGGCGGGGTGTTTCCAACTCTCGTCTCCAGTCGTGGCGCGGGCGTGGCTGGCCCTGTCAGTCATAGGAATCCCGCTTCGTAATTGGCGCGTTGTCTTTTGTCACCGCCCCCGTCTCGCGATCAACAAACCGCCTTGTTCCTTGTGCGCGGCGTCCCCGCCTCCTGCGCGCAGCAGCCAATGAGAGCGCGAGGGGGCGGGATGAAAAGCGGCGCGGCACGTGAGCGCGCGGTCACATGAGGGCGGTCGCGAGCGACATGGCGGCGCCCGCGGCGCTGCCGCTGCTGCTGCTCGGGGCGGCGGCGGCGGCCGCGGGCTGCGGGTACCAGGTGCCGCCCGCGGGGGCTGCCGGGAGCGGCTGGGGGAGACCGGAGTGACGGGGAGCA